GCAGAAATATATCTTCGGACTTCGACAGTTCCGGAGCGATCGGCCTCGGACAACCTCCGCGCATCTCCGTGAAGAATTTGTCCAGGCGACGTGCGAATTAATAGATAACCAACCCGCACCTGTCCTTTCCAGGTGCTTCCTTTTACGCTTCAATTTCTTACGCTTTCAGTTTAAAATAAAATATATCCTAGATTTGAGAATGTTAGACGCAGTACACGCGTGTACTGGAAAATACGACAAACTAAATGGAATAAATTCACTGTCATAAACAACGTGATATAAACAACGTAATGTTCAAACAACAAGAGAATTTTGAGAGTTACGCAAACGCGGATCTACAATTCAAAAGAAAATCCTCTTCCGTATACGTGCCTGAGGAAAAGATTTGTTTCATTATATTTCGATTTTATCATATATTTATCATTTAAACTGTTTTTTTTTCTTCTTAAAAAAAATTAATGACGTAAAACTAAATCATAGGTAATAAAAATAATTGTGCATTTATATATAAATATTGAATGAAGAAATTAAAAAATTTGAAAAATATTATCAAAGTATAATATTGAATAATTATTTCACTACTTTATGATTCGAGTAATGCTTCTAACATTCTGAAAGTCTAGGTATAAGGTAAAGGATTTAAGTTTCGTTAAGAGAGAAAAGGAGGGACGAAGTTATCTCTCACAATCAGAAAATTACTTTCAACTTACATTGTTGCGTGTGACATTGCAAATATGTTTACATTTCCATTCATTCGCCTATGCAACATTCTCATATCTCTTATTTTACAATCAATTTATTTATAACATTAATTTGGTACTTTTATTGCAAACCAATATGTCATATTGATTTGCACTTATAACATTGCTAAGTAATGGAAAATATAAATAAAATTTTCAGACAATGTAGTTATATGATGTAATGATAATAACAACAATAATAATTTATTTAAGTATAAGAATTAAATGAGGAAATGAATAAGGAAAGTAGTATTATGAAGAATTACACTTTAAATGATGAGGCATCAACAATAATATACTTATAAGTTTAAGTCAATAAGAACAACAACAACAACAACAACAACAACAACAAGATAATAATAATAAATGTATAGGCACGTACTTTTACAACGAGAATACACATTAGCGTATACGATACGTGTCTTAAAAAATATAATTAAAAAATATAATTAAAGTTTCTATTAACAAGAAATTTTATTTATAATGTTACTTTTTCTTTTTGTTTCTTGAATTTTTTTCGAATGAAATATTTTAAAGTTGCAGATTCCATTTTCATTTAAGAGTTGAAAGGAATAGATGTATATCTTTTGTAGCCGTAATAGTTTTTTATCTGTGTATTTGAAGTGACAATTTCGCTTTCACTAATCAGCGCTCTTCGATAAATATATGTCACAAGTTAGAACCAGCAAACGAAAACTTTGAAAGCTAACCATCCTGATTGACTTTTTAATTATAATTAATTCAATGTAGTATGATGTAATGTTATACAATCATGTAAAATAATATAAAATTTATTATGAGTAATATTATTGCCAAATACGATATAAAAATATAAACATCCCATAGAAGAAGTCAAAGAAACTGTATATATGTATTATAATTTATAATTAATTAATTTAACAATTTAGTCTAGCTGTTATCATTATTATATAACATCATTTTAAGAATAGAAGAAATTATAGAAAATTGACTTGAGATAAAAATTTTACATGACTGATTCTTAACATAGTGGTTATAGACCTTTGGTCTTACTGTGAGTTAAAATTATAAAAAATATGCATGCGAAATTAATATTTCGCATACATGTGAGAGGACAAGTAAGTCCCAAGACAGTTTTTCGATCTTAATCTTAAATATTGTCTACATTTTGTAATGCCGAGTGAATGAAGAGAAAGAGAGAACGGGACAACTTAAAATCTTAATCGACATTGAGAGAGTCCATATCGAGTCCTTAAGTCGGTCATTCAGGCGATCTTGTAGGAAGCGAAGATGTACGTTGAGAAAAGAGACGAAAGAGTGGTAGGAAGAGTCGTGGCCCATTTCTTTTAGAAGGGAAACGATGATTACAGTTAAGCCGTTACCTCCGTCAGTGCTCACTCGGTTTTCTGTGGACAGCATTCCTGACTGGCGTAGCTGGAAATTCTCGTGAGAAATTTTTGGTACACTACTCGTGGTAACAATTCTTCTCTTGCTTCGTCCTCCATAGAGCACAATTCTTCTTTCACAGTCTTTTTCTTGTCAGAAACAACGAAATAGTATTAAGTCTGATTTGACTTTTTCGGGGAGGGAGGGGGGGGAGGAGGGGGCAATTGATCATCGCCAAAAATCAAAAATTTGCTCAGATGATCTTTTCATTCGGGAGAAAGCTATGCTAAGATGGGATTTATTAAACCTCGGTTAATCTAAAAATTCAAATCGTAATATTTTTTTAAATATTTTAAATGAAATGAAATTTGTTCCTTAAATTGAAATTAATAAAAATAAAATTATTAATAATTTTTAGTTACATTGAGAGCAGCTGTGAAAATAATTATTATTTGGAATTACTTGGTCTTCTTTAGTAACGTTAATCGTCGGGTTAATAGTACCTGAATGAATGTAAAAATTTATAAATCAATGAATAAATGAAATAGAAAGTAAAATAAAAGAAATAGAATTCTAAAACTTGAGTGTAAAATATCTGAAACGGAACGGAACAAGTTAAAGAAAATCATGAAAGAAAAAGATTTTATTAAAAGATAGATGTGTTTACTGATATTAAAAGAAAGCGTTTGACAACAGCCTTGATTTTTGCGAACAATTATCGTTCGATCAAATTTAGATCCGTCCGTCCGTTTTTTCAGAAAATGCGTCATTTTATCTGTTCGTTTCATGATATTTTATAATGACGTGTTGAGCAGAAAGACGCGATATAATTTTTTCCAGAGATAAAGTGATAAAGCTCGATATGCGATCGATAACAAATGATTATTGTTGCAATTTGTTGCACCGTTGAAAACTTTTTCAGCTTCAGTTGCCGCATGTACATAAACGTAAATGCAATTTCTTGAAAATATTATTTGGATGAAATAACGTACTTATTTGTCCATCAATGATTTCTAATCGATCCATTAATTAGCGTCGAATGTCAAGATATCTAAATGCGATGAAAGATATCAAGAGAATTTAGGGTAAATATATAGATGGAAAG